AATCGTTCCAATAATGGTCACCAATAATCAGTATCTGATTTAGGTGATAGTATCATCAACGTAACATAACACTTCCAGTCGAACTAATAATCGTAACTACTGATGAGTTCGTCAACTAATTTGAAATGAACTGATAAGTGCATCACAGTAAAGGTCGCTTATTACAAGTGAATCTGTTTGTTAGGTATTATTACAAAGCTCCTTCATGTCTGTAAGGAGTAAGATAATCGGAAACATGAGAAAAATCATTGAATTCATTCCGTTTACAGAACTGACATTTGTAAGTCAGCCTGGATGACAACTAAACGATCATTCAATGTCACAATTAATGGTCGCTAAATACTTCCATAGAATTGGCTGTATTTACAACTTCTCCACAAATGGTAATCGGTAGGTATATCGTGGGTAAAGATGGCAATGAAAGAAGAAGGGTTAATCTCAACAGATTAACCGATAGTGGTTTCTAAGTTCGACGCAGTAGATGAAAATCATGAGCATATGACGGCACGATATTTTCGAACAAAAACAACGATGGAACAGCCAAGGATAGAGTTCATTGCTGGGCTGGAAATGTGGTTTCGAAGGAGTGCGTGCAGTTGGAGATTTATATGATCAACGAAGGACTCGAGTACAAAAGCGATTGCTTGAGATCAAGGCAGAACAACAATATATGTGGTGTTCTATTGAACAAGTGATATAAGGAAATTATCATGAATGCATTAGCAGATGATAGAATTTGGTTTGATGAAGAGGTGTTGTTCGATTGAAGATGAGTAAATTAAATAAGTGTTAGTCAGTTAGTGGCTTGTTAAGATGAGTGCAAACAAGGTGAAATGCAATAATATACGACGTACACGTGGTTTCGGACATGCTTGGATTAACTGTGAGATAAGCGGGTACTGAGTCTATTCGTTGTCCACTCTCAGTGTCTTCAGCCGTACAAATGTAGGTGCCCGAATCTGATACTTTCACATTCGTCAGAGTCAACACACCACGTTCTTCCGTATTGGCATCTGCACTCAGCGCTTCACCGTCTTCACGTCGCCAAGTCAGCGAAAACTCATTGATATGGTTAGTTTCCGCTAGGCTACAACGTAGCGTTACCGTATCGCCCTCATCAACCGATTCTTGGAACGAATCCACAACGGGTTGTAGTGATACTTCGGACTCTGCTGTAACTAGTGGTTAGTTGACGAACACAAACCCAATGAAACCAAACGAACGAACGATTCGAGAAACGAAAATTAATAAACACATTTCAAACATATTTGTTACATATTTGTTGTGGTGTGCA